GAATATGGGACCAAATTTCCTCCATAATTGAGTCTGTCGCTCATAACGCTTCGAGAATGAAGGTGCGAAATTGATTCTAAGTAAGTATCATTTATTAATAATTACTTAATCAGAATAATAAATGAAAACGTTTAACAATCATAAAAGGATAGAAAGAGATTAATATTATATAATATATTTACCTTGAATAAAATTATCTTCAAAATCCAAAAACAATCAGAGCCAAGATGAATGAATATCCTATAATATTTACCTTGAATAAAATTATCTTCAAAGTTATTTTTTTCACCTCACCCACCCCCCATCCCCAAACCAAACCCAGAAAACTCACCACCACTGACTGGTCAACCGGCCACAGCTACCTATCTCACCATAAACCTTAAATTGCCACCACCACCACCATCAAACCAAAACCATCACCATCAAACAAGTTTTTCCATTGCGAAGATGAAGAACCTAAAATACGATGGAAAGAAAAATCATCGAACATCAAAATTAGAAAATATTTGAAAACCAAATTCTAAAAAGGACCGTTGAACATATACAGAAAAAAAAAAAAAAAATTTACTAAAAAATCACAGAAGATCAAAATCAACACAAGTCGGCGGCCACCCAATCCAGAAAAACCACTGGCCACCTAATTCGTCGAAAATTTCTTCCCAAGTCGACGGCCTCAATGCACAAAGCACCACCTACAGTTTCACCTATGGTTGCACCTAACTGTCGGTAGTCTCACCAACTATAGGCGAACATATTGATCGTGGAACAATATCAATTTGTGTCAGCAACGTCACTAATCTTTCAAAAATATGCATATGAAGTCCAAATGGGTGGAATCCATCAACTTTTTCTACTAAAAAAATTTGGAAACATTGCGGGGGTGGTCCCTAACCTTTTCAATTTTTGTAGACTTTATCCTAACTTTCAATTTGTGCAAACGGAGATCCCTAACCTTTCATAAACATGCAACTGAGATCCAAATAAATGGAAACTGTCCATTTGATCATTTTAAGCAAAGACATTTTTGTCAATTCTATGACAACATTATATTTTGCAATATAAATACAATTATATAATAAGTAATAATTAAATAAAAAAACAAGTCAAATCAAAAAGTTATCTTCTTCACCTCACCTCACCCACCACACCCCCAAAACCGAACACAGAAAACTCGCCACCGCGGGCTGGTCAACCAGCCACATCCTCCCATCTCACTATAAACCATAAATTGCCACCACTACGACTACCATCACCCTAAAACCATTACCTTCAAACCCAGCTTTTCCATTGCGAATAGGATGAACCTAAGACACGACGAAAAGAAAAATCATCAAACATCAAAACTAGAAAATATTTGAAAACCAGATTCTAGAAAAGACCATCAAACATCTATAGAAAACTAGAAAAAAATATAATAAAAAATCACAAAAGATCAAAATCGACACAAGAGAGTGGCCACCCAATCCAGAAAAACCACTAGCCACCTAATTCACAGGAATTTCTACCCTAGTCCATGGCTTCAATGCACAAATCGACACCAACAGTCACACCCATGATCGTGCCTAACTGCCTGTAGTAAAACATATTGTGAAATTTCATGAGGAAATTTGTTGGGCCTATATGACCCACGAGCCCATTTAATTGTTCGACTTTTTACATGAGGAAATTTCACCCAATACTAGTTTTGAAAAATATATTCAAATTTGGGATACTTACAAAAATACCCTTAAATTTAGAAGTGCCTTGAAAAATCATATGAAAGGTTTTTAGGAAATAAAAAA